CCATCTAGCAATGCGTATGCATACTTACTCTCTCCCTTTATTATTATACGTATCACTAATAGTGGTTTGCTTCATCTTTCTCTGTTCTCTTCTCAAATTCACAATTTCTTTTGGGCTTGGAGTAGGAAAAAATTTATCAAAAGGCCCCTTTTTCCTTCTTATGGGGGGCTGTTTAGAACTTCTTTTTGAACCTGAAGCAGAAGGAATATGATCACCACTTCCAACACCAAGAATTTCCACCTTGTCCCCCATCTCATCCTCATCTTCAATTGTGTTTTCAAAATCAACAAAATCAGGAATTCTGCCGTCTTGACTTCCAACTATGTCCTCTTTCATTGATTTTTTTCTAGCATGTATGCTAATATTTCTTCTTTCACCTCTTTTGGGCATTTAGGACAGACTTTTACATTTCTTCTTCCACCAATCAAATGCTCCTTCGCTCTATAGATCCCTCCATTTGTCACTTTGCCACAAAATTTGCAAATGACAGAATTTGCAATATTTCCAGCCCGGGTCTTTCCTATTGCTTTCTTGAGTATTGTCGGACTTATCTCCCATCTCTTTACTCGGTTGGCAAAATTTCCTATTGGCAAATAACAAATTACAATTTGCAACTATCAATACTCGTACTTGTGAACCTATCTTTGAAAATAAATAAACTATTCTAGTTCTACTTGATAATAACAGAAATAAATAAACTATATCCTATTTAATAATGAGAAAAACTGAATTGTTTTAACTCACTAAGAAGCAAACCTGTAATTCTGCAAGTATGCAAGTCTTTGTATAAACTATAAAGAAGAATGGGCAGTAACGACAGTTTTAAAATTTTAATGATAAAAACTAAAAGACAATGGGGTGGACTATGGAGCCCCAATTTTAACGAGAAAAACTGAAAACAAATGGGGCGGATCCCCTGTTTTTATGATAAAAAATGAAAAGCAATATGTTTCAATTCAATGAGGAAAACTGAAAAAAAAGGGGTGGATCCCCTGTTTTTATGATAACTACTGAAAAACAATGGGGGCAGGGCTCCTGCTTTAATGAGAAAAACTGAAAAAAAAGGAGGCGGATCCCCTGCTTTTATGACAAGAACTGAAAAAACAAATGGGGCATAGCCCCTGTTTGTGTAAGAAGAAGAAGAAGGTGGCTGAGGCGCATGCCTGTTTTGCTGGGCCGCCTGTTGCCTGGCCTGAGGCGCACACCTAGGTGCAAAGGCGAGCGACTGTTCAAGGTTTGTGTGCCTTGGCCTGGGCGAGGCGCTCAGCCTGGAAAGTGCCTTGCCTCTGCGCCTAGGCGGGCCTTTTAAAACACCGGATCACCCAGGTTGCAATGGAGTAACCCAACCCTTGCACCAAGGCCTACCTGCTGGCCATTAAGTTATCCTTAATGTAAATGTGAGGCTTTTAAAAGGTGGAGGACTAAATGGTCTTTTCATGTAAAATTATGTTTCTAGCCCAAATTTGTAAGTTGCTTTTGAATTGTGATATATGATCTCACACAACTATTTTATAATCTGAAAAGTGATTAGTATGTACAATTTGAGTTGTATTAGGGCTGATTTTATATGAATCATATGATTCAAATTGTTAATCACACGATTTTAAAAACATTGGTCAGGAGGCCAGAGGCAAAGTTACAGATATATGTTGATGGCTCCACTATAATGAATGGTATGAATAATCTAAACATTTGCACATTTCTAATCATCAAAATTGAGAAAGCTTTAAGAAAACTGAGATACAAAATGAGGTACCTTCTTCTCAGTGTTTTAAAAGTGCATGGGTCTTTTTGCAGCTGAGGTGCAAGGTGAGATGTGCGCCTTTTCTGAGATGAGGCTCAAAATTTTAAAATTTAAAAAATACAATGTAAAATTATTAAATTTTGCAAAAAAAATAGCATACTTAAATTTTAAGCCAAATGTTTTAAAAAGCTTATTAGCTCAAGGTGAAATACATAAACATAACATTTAAACCATTTCAAAGTGAAAATGTAAAAATATAATTAAATAATATCTAAAACATATTTAAGCACTCAAGAATTCAAGCATGTGAAATTTTCAATCTATTTATTTCTTTCCCAATCACATTACTCTAGTTCTACCAGTCTCTTTGTACTGAGCTCGTTGGGGCAAGCCCAAACAAGTCTATCTTTTTTTTTGATAATTACCCAAACAAGTCTATCTTAGTGTCTTAAATACTTAATCCATGCTTATAAAATTGGTTTTATAATTTAGTTATAGTTATGTTTTAAATAAAAGGTTTTTTATCAGGAAGAATAAATGAACATTAGCAAATGGGGGGTTCTGAAAGTTGATATCCCATCCCATCATGTGTGATGTATGAGAAACTCTGCCTATCTTTCTCTTCCAATAGCACTGCCATACTTGCCAGGTCAAGTATAGCTTGCCTTGCATCTCATTCTTAGCTTTTGGTTAGATAGTGGAGTCTCAGACCATGACTGAGTCTTCAGATTTATTTGTCTTCCTTTCACCATGTGCATTTCTAGTACATGGTCCAACTTGCATAACATGACCTCTCTCTCTCTCTCTCTCTCTCTCTCTCTCTCTTTCCCTCTTCTACTTGTGTGGTTCAGTGATTTAAAAGGTGCACCTAGGCGCTCAGGCAAGGTGCATTTTAAGGTATGTGCTTTGCCTAGGCCCTAGGCGCAGCACTTTCAAAAGGTCCAAGCCTGGTGTGCCTTGCACTTCAGCCCAGGCATGTGCCTTGTACTCGAGAATCCCATATTTGCTATCATAGTTCATTCATTCATCCTAGTAAAATATCTTCTTAAAAGGTGTGGTTTGTTGGAGAGCAGTCATTGGGGCTCCATCCTAGATCTTTTTTTTTTTTTCTTAATTTTGTTCTTATGAATGATTGAAACAAGTTTTACATTGTTGTCCTTGTATGGTTGTATTGTAAATTTGAAATAGGGGCTTTCCCTACTTTCCATATCTGATTTGCTGTTGTTTTGGGAGGGGAACCCAGATTATTTTTCTTTTTCCTTTATCTCTTCCCTTTCTAATACTTTTTTCCTTCTCCTTCTCTTCAAACAGATCTGGCCCCTCTCTTCTACTGGTACCTTCTATAACTATGCTGCATGGAGCAGAGTGTTGGGATGTTAAGAAACAGAAAGTCCAGAAAATGGGGTGGCAGAAATGTGAATGCCTAGATGGGTGGGGGGTAAAACTAGAAAGGACAGATTTAGAAATGAAGTCGTATGAAGGAACCTAGGAGTAGCTCCAATAGGTGATAAAATGAGAGAAAGTAGATTGAGATGGTTTGGTCATGTGCATAGAAGGCCATCTACAGCACCTGTTCCGATAAGTGATCAGTTGCAAGTTTAAGGGGCTAGAAGAGTTAGGGCAGACCATAAAGGACTTGGGTGGAACTAATAAGAAATGATCAAGTGTCCATAATTGATATGGCACTGAACAGAATGGAAGGGTGAAACAATATTCATGTGTTTGAGCCCATATGGTTGGGACAAGGCTTAGATGGTGATGATGATGAAAGGAATTCATTGTTTCAGGAGGGACTGATGATAAGGTAAAAGCTATCTCTTGAAGAATTCTATTTAAGAAGGGGAAGGTGAAAAATGAGGGGCAAAGATGAACTCTTCTAAAAATAAAAATTTAAAGAAATCTTCTGGGAAGATCTTTGTGTAGAATCTCCATTGGTGGCCCTAGTTTTCTGCTTTACTTTGGTTCCATAATCTCCCTTTTATGTTGATTAGTGGTATAAGCATAAAACCCTTGTAATAGAGGAGATATTACGTGATTTTAAGAGGTTGGGCTATCATTGACATCCAAGTCCCTTTTAAGGTGGGCCTGGTTTTGTGCATGGCACCCTGATATTGCAACAAATTATTAGCACCTAATGATTATTTTTCATGATTGATTGGCAAGGGTTTGTGACAAGCAAAACACTGAGATTGTAAGGTGATTCCCTGATAGAAAAGTCTGGAGTCTCTTGACTTTAGAAGTGTTATCTTGGTCACTCTAAATATGGAAGAGTTGTAAACCTTAAATGTACTTTTGGCAATTTTGATTTGATGTATGCAAAACATTTTAATTATAGATGATGAATTAATTGGATTGTCAGACCTAAAACGGGTGGCAAATACTTTAAACTGATCAATGACAATCTGTTAGAACTCGCATGGTTTCTAGACCCATTTAGATTTGATATGCACAACTTTTTTTTTTTGACAATTACCAATGAATAAATTGGTTTGTCAGGCTCAGATCAGATGATGGAGCATTTTCAGACTGTTAAACCATACAAGAAAACTAATAATGCTTAACATTGTAGACATAATTGAGATAAGGGATGGTTCTGGATCTTGTCTGGGTGTGTTTAAATAACAAAATAGAAACCCTTCTAACAGGTTTGGTTTAAGCTTTTATTTTCTTTTTTCCTTTTTGAATATATTAAATCAAGAAAAAGTGTATGGTATTCATGGTCCTCTACAAGGAAATTTGTACAGTATATACACAGCATTGATGACCCCCAAAAAAGTCTATTTTCAAAAAAGAACAATCCTCTCCACTAAAAGATTTGAGAGTAGACAACTGGCTTCTAATCATTTGTATTGCAAAATTGATTACAGTTTCCTCTGGATTTGCCTTCTACTCAAGGATTCTATGTTGCCTAAAGCTAATGGACATTTGCTTTCACTCAGATGTTCTTTGTGTAGCTGTTCTTTTGAACAGCTTCATCCATATGTGTTATATGAATAGTTCCATATCTCTCTTTCTCTCTCTATCTCTCACACACACACAGACACACACACACACACACACATACTCACAGATTGTTGTTTTCTTTCCTTCTGCTACATTCAGTGATATTATTAGTACTTTTCTGTTGATCTCTTGAGATGGTATATGACCAAAACAAAAGAATATACAATTTGATTCTGTTGACTGTTCACGCCAAAGAAATGAACTGAAGCCTTTATCCATCCTTATGCGTAACATTTTATGGCTTCACTTGCAGGGACCTAGACAAATTCAGCATGCTTATTTGAACCTGGGTCATTGAATGAAGAAGCCATCATCTCTCTTTTGAATGAAGTTAGCCACAGCATCCAGCATCAACAGTTGAAATTTTGAGCTTGGCTAAGTGAAATGCATCTCTGATGCGCATGATCTTCTGGTGGGTGATATTCTGGCCATTGAGAAAATGAATTGAACCACACCGAGGAATGCTACATTGGAAGTTTCTTTTTTGGAAATAGCAAATGCTTCCTTGGTGTAGGACGGACGGTTACTGACCTGTGATTAATCATATCATCCAGGTAAAATAGTTGCAGAGTATGGTTAGTCAAACTTTTCCTTTTGTTTTTAAGGAAATCAATTCCATGTCATATTGCATTTTTCTTACCCGTCCTCCATAGTGGGTTCTGGAAGTATGGGCAGGCGTTTTAGTCTTTCATCTTAATGGCATTCTGTTTTCCGGCTTGGGGGTGTCTTGGTCTTATTTTGTTGGTTTCTCTTCGGAGTTCACATGTTATCTTATTGGACTTGTGATGAAAGGGAAACAAATTAATCATTGTATTTTGTTTTTCTTTGAAATGGCATGTCTTCTATTGTCTAATAAAGACGGTAGAGTAATTTTCAATATCTGATAAAAGGAATTAGTGTCAATATCTGAATTTTCAATAGTAGAATTTGATGTCATTCAAATATATTATGGCAGAATAAACATGCTGATTACAATGTTAAAGTTCTCACATGCTTTGAGTTTTATTGCCTGTATGCCAACAGGCTGAATGAATGTTTCAGGGGTACTAACTGCTTTTAGAACTTTGGAGATAAGTTGTAGATACTCTTTCGGTAGCTTACCCATTTGAGACGTGGTGTTATTTAGAAAGTCTTTTGAAAGGTCTTCTGGAAGATCTGGCAGTCAAAAGGCGTAGTGAGCTTTTATATAAAGATCTGGATAGTCTACAGACCGTTTGGTTGGAGGTGCCTCTTTCAGTGCGAAAATGAGATGAAAAAAGGCGAGAAGCTTCATTTCTACTTTTCCGAAATAAAGCTTGAAGCGAGGTTCTCACATTTTTTCAGGGCGGAGTCTTTTGGCAGTTAGATCTTCTCCCAATCAAATGGGAAAAGAAAAAAATGTGGACTTCCGGGCTTCTAAACAGCCAACAGCCCACACGGAAGACATGTGCAACAGGGCTATATGGGTTGAAGTACTAATAAATGATTTAAGCACTTTTTTTTTTTTGTAAAAAAGGTAAGGTAGCTTTTATTAGAAAAAAAAGCCTTGTGCAAAAAGAAAGCAAAAAACTGCAGCCCCCAGAAACACCTAGCCCATACAACAAAGCAAGGGCCTAATACTACACAATCCAAGATGACACCAAACTAGCCAAACACCCAAGATAGGACCAGCACACGACTTCGACCAACCCAACCCAACTCAACTACGAAGATCAATTGCGGCCAAAAAAAAAAAGGTAGTACTTCAATAAGACTAGCTGGCCAAGTTGTCCTTGCCTATACCTCTTCTACCCTTCCCCTTTGGATATCACATTACCTGAGAGGATGCGACCGTGGCACGCCAGTTGAAATTTTATTTCAAACACTGACATGTTTGCATTTCACTGGCGACCTGGGTCGTAGGTAATGTTTTCTCTCCCCCCTGTGCTGTGTGCCCCTCGGGAAGGGGGGGGGGGGGGATCAGCGACCAGCACATCATAACAGTCCCTCAACAATAGGGACTTTCTACTCCCAAGAGGAAACATCGGAGGATCAGAAGAGTAGCTCGATCACAATCTTTATATTTCTACTTCTACATCCAGCTCGGAGCAAAAGTCATCTTGAGGAGGATGGGCTTCACGCCTTTCCAAAACTAATTGCTTTATCCACTTGATTTGCAACAACCACCTGTGCGGGGTACACTTCCCCCCTCTTACATCTTAGACAAAGGCAGAGCCATCAAATTCCTAGAAGAACAAGGCTCACTTTGGGCCGAAGACGTAGCCGTACTTAACTGCCAATCAGTGTGACATTTAAGAATGGCTTCCTCTTGGGCTTTGCTGCTGAAAGATGGATCTTGGAGAAGAAGGTTCCCGCCAGTCCACCACCACTGAACGGGGCCTCCTTAATACTTTCAAGCCACTGCCAAAGGGAACTCAATGGAACTAATCCTTGGGAAAACACAGACTGGGCTTCAACGTCACTTGAGACAAGCCCTACCTAGTCTCTTGGCTGTTCGGCGAAGGGGAAACCGAGATCAAGTTGACCTACAATAGTTGAACCGGGTTCCAAGCCGGAAATGCAAATCATCTAAAACTTCCCAGCTCACATTAAAACTTTCAACATCGATTAAAACTTGAAAAGCCTGCCAAAATAAGCAAACGTTGCGATGAGGAGGCCGTTGTGCCTGTAAACTCTGATGACCCATCACCCGACAACACAAGATCTAGCATTACTCCATGTGGCAACGGGGTCATGTCTGAATTCCTTCCCGTCAATTTTGACTGGCAATGGGGAAAAATCTCTGGTCCAATTTCCACCGGAGCAAGGATCGGCTGAATCTCCCTTCCTCTTGCCTCTCCATTAACACCAAGGTGAGGAGCTTGTAGCTTCTTCCTTTTTCTGCTTCTGCATTGGCGCTTCCAAATGACAATAGCAGGGGTACCCTGCACCCAACAGGAAATCCAATGTTGCCCCTAGATACAACCCTAGAAACCAGACCAGGGGACGGTGGAAAAAAACGAGCCATGTTCTAAAGTTGTGACTTGAGGCGACAATGGAGTCTAGACCCATTTGTTGCAGCACGGAGGTCGGCCATCAATTGGGAGGTTGATGTCTTTGACTGCAATCCTCAAGAAATAACTAATGCCCCCCACAACAAGAACTGTAGTTTGGGGATGTCACGAGCTGCCCTGCTCCATACAAATAAACAAAGAGCGATTTGGCATATAAGATGAATCTAGATATGCTGACTACAAGCAAATATTTTATATCACTGATATTCCCAATGTGCAACTGGGTGAATGATGCCAGCAATGTGTTGTATTCAGTAGTAGATCTGAACTCATCCGATATGCATCTATAAGTATATACTTAAAGCATTGGAAAGGTGTACAACGGCATTTGGAGGTTGAAATGTGATATGGTTTTGGCACATAATCTAAATTATTGACATGTGTTTCTCCCACCCTTCCCTCCTTTACTCTCTCATCTCTTATATCTCTCTTTACTTTAAAATTCAAAAATTACAAGAATGCCACATATAAGGCAAATCTCTTTATATAATTGATTCTATAATATTTGAAAATTACAAAAATGTTACATATAAGACAGATGCACCTTCTTTACCTTGCCATGTAATTGTCTTTATTATATTCAAAAATTAAAAGAGTGCCACATATAAGATAAACCTCCTTATGTAATTGACTCAATGACATTCGAAAATTAAATGAGTGCCACATACAATTATTTATGATTATGCTATCTTATAAATAAAATGCCATCCCTCTTCTTTATCAATTCTCTCTCTCTCTCTCTCTCTCTCTCTCTCCTCCTATTCTTTGTCTCAGATTTTATTTATTTTATTATTATTATTATTATTATTATTATTATTATTATTATTATTATTATCTAAACATTGATTTATTCAATAAAACTAAATAAATTATCTATTTTAATAAAATAAATCAGTAAAATAAAGGAAATGTGACATTGAGAGAGATTTTAATCAACATATATATATATATATATGTTTATTTAGAAATAATTTCTCTCCCCTTGAGCCCAATAATTAGGGCAATCAATGGGTTGAGTTTGGTTTGAGATGGCCTATACCATTTCCATTCCAATAAAATTTTATTTATTTATTTTACTCAATTTAATAAATTATTATATAAACATTAATTTATTTAAGAAAAACTAGGGCTGAACCAATGGGTTGGGTCTATCCTGATGGAGCTAAATTGATTAAATATAATTACAACGGTTCTGGTTCCATGATTTTGTCTTGATTAATTATTGGATTGATTCTCATTCTTACTTGTCTAAAATTGATTCAGGTCCCGAACCAAATATCTTATAAAATATATAATTTTTTTTATCTTTCTTGTAATTTTTATCATGTTTTATGTTTGAAATAGTAAATTTGATAAATAATAAATAAGATAATATTAATTAAAAATGTTTAACTTATTAACATAAAAATAAATTAGTATTATTTTTTTTAACTATTGTTTTCAATATAATCAAGTATATGATTTGATCCCAATTAAATAATTGGTTCAAGACTGGTTCTACCTAGTCCTGACTTGTTGACAATGTTAAACCAGATTGGGGTCCACTATAGTTATTTATTATCCGTAATAATATAGTTCTAGTTATTCTATTTAAAAAATATAACCTAATTTATTATTGTATCTCCAAATGGCATTTTGGTTTTTCTATTTTGCCCATGCAAAGCTGGGGGCATCCCTGCTCATTGGTATTTCATTTATTTTGAACTTTTTATAAAATAAAATAATAATATTTTTCCTTGAAATATAATGATTCTACTTGAATGACTATTCTGACCGAATGAATTTTTCCGATACTTTTAATTAGTTTTTGTTATTCGAATGATTCATTTTGATACAGTGATTCTTCTAAGATGAACTCTTTTTACTAATCTTTTGTCCTCTTTCTCTCACACACATACATACATCGTAAATAATATTTCACAAAAATAAAAGCCTAAATGACTTTGTGCAAGGGCTCTTTACAATAAAATGGTTTTATTTTTAGCTTGAATTGTGATTAGTTAAAGACAACAAAATAAAATTATAATAGTTTGTTTTGTTTGTTCATAGAGATAAGGTCTGTCCTTGCAAAGCAGTTCAAATATCCTTCCATGACCTGCTAGGTCAATGGTCCAGGCTAACTTAGTCAGTCACTCGGTGTTTCAAGTTTCAATCTGCCGTTGATCTAGTTGGTCATACTGTTGGACCTAAAATCCACATTATGGACAGTAAGTTTCAATTAAAAAAAAATAAAAATAATTAAAACAAAAAATTGGTAAAAAATGGTTGATCTGATCAAAAGGGTCAACAGTTTGACTGCCTGGGTCAGTGGGTCCCTAACAAAGTCAATGGTTTTTGGTAAAGTTTCAATTCATTGGTGAAACAGAATTGGTTGCCTGGATGGTTTTCGACTTAAATGGTTCAATTGTATAGATCAACAACGGTTCGAAAACCATCATTCAATGGATAGATTGAGATGAACTTTTTTCCTTTCCTTTTTATTTTTCTTTTGTATTTGATTTTCGGGCATGCTATTAATATTTTAAATTCGTCATATTAAAAACCAATTGGGTTGTGGGTCAATGGTTCAGTTGTACGGATTAAATGGGTCAACCCCTGACTTTGTAAATAAAATAAAGATAATATAACAATAAACATAAATACAAAAAAATATGTAAATAATTGATGTGTTTTTAATGTTACTTATTCATCATATTAAGATGAAACAAATGAATTTCATATAACTGGTTCAACTATTTGGGTTGAATGGATGTACTTGTGGTGTTATAAATAAAATAATTTCATATAAAAATAGATAATTACAAAAACATATGTAAATAATTTGGGCATATATCTAATAGTATGTATTCATTATATTAAAAAAAAATGATTGTAATAATTAAATTAAATTTTATTGACTTCCTTAGCTCTCCCCTTC